TAGGACTGCTTTTACTGTTTCCCATAAGTTCCAGTATGTTGTATTTTTATTATCATTTAATTGTAGAAACTTATTTCTTCTTTAATTTCATCTGTAACCTATTGGTTGTTCAAGAGAGTGTTATTTAATTAATTTCCATGTATTTAAGTTCTTGGGAAAAAAAATTTTTTTTTTGGTGATACCAGGGATTGAACTCAGGACTCTGTGCTTGTGGCAGGGGCAGTGCCACTGAGCTAAATCCCTGGCCCTGGGAATTTTGTTTTTCAGAAAGAGAGAGACAGACAGAGAGGCAGAGACAGAGACAGAGAGAGGCAGAGTCTTGCTATGCTGGCAAGGCTAACCTTGAACTCCTGGGCTCAAGCAGTCCTCTTGCTTCAGCCTCCAGAATGGCTGGGACTACAGGTGTGGGCCACTGGACCCAGCTCTTACATTATTTTTTTCTCATGCAATGTTGTGTAGAACATGCAGGTTAGGATTAAATGTAGAGGTAATAGTTGGGAATTTAGTCTTTTTGTTATACAGTTATTATTAATTATTATTATTATTATTATTATTATTATTATTATTATCACAGTACTGGAGATTGAACCCAGGGCCTTTGTGTTGAGCTACATCTGTTAGGGAAAGACAAAAATAAAAACCAAAAATCAGAGGTATGAGCTCAACAGGACAGGTCCATTTCAGAACAAACCTGTGAGAAACTGCTCTGGCACTAGCAACCAGAGCAACAACTTTCATACAGGCTATAGGATCTTTTGTAGGATCATGCGGAGGGGAACTTCAGTAAAAGGGGCTGTGGCTCCCTGCCAAGAAAAAGGCTTGACAGAGCATGAGTGGTAATGGTTGCCCAAGTATGAGCCCTGGAGAAGCACGAGGAACAACGGCTGGGAGGGACAGGTTTAGAGGGTATCGGATCAGAATAGTAGCATTTGGCTGGGGATTTAGCTCAGTGGTTCTGCCACCCGCCTCACAAGTGCAAGGACCTGAGTTCGATCCCTGGTACCAAAAAAAAATTCCCCCCGAAAAAATAACCTCACAGAATGGCAGAATTTGGCTTCCTTCAATATCTCCAGCCCCGTTTTCATTTTTTAAATTTTATTTGGTTTTGATACTGGGAATCAAACTCAGGTCCTTGACCTTGCAAGGCAGGCGGTGGCACCACTGAGCTAAATCCCTCACCCCTTTTGTTTGTTTTTTGGGACAGGGTCTCCTCATGTAGTTCAAACTGACCTTGAACTCACTATGTAGTCCAAGCTGGCCTCAAACTCACAGGGATCCTCCTTCCTCATCTTCCTGAGTGCTGGGATTACAGGTGTGTGTCACAACACTTGGCTACATTGATTGGTTTTCTAACGTTGAACTGTGCTTGCAATCCAGGGATAAATCTTACTTGATCATGATCTTTAAAATATACTACGGCCAGAGGGCCGGGGATTTAGCTCAGTGGTTCCAATGCCTGCCTTGCAAGCACAAAGTCCCGAGTTTGATCCCCAGTACCAAAAAATAAAAAATAAAATATACTGCTACAGAGTAGTGGCTTCATCCGCCACTGTTCTCCTGAGTCTCGGGACATCTTCCTGCTCCCATCTGCCTCGGGCCTGCAGGCCCATAGAGACCAAGTATCATGTCTTCAATTAAGTTGCAGAATTCTAATGGAGAGATACTTGAAGTTGATGTTGAAATTGCTGAACAATCTATGACAATTAAGACCATGTTGGATGTCCTCAGATGTCACTGATTCTTACATGGGGAAAATATGAAGCTTTTAAATACTTAAATGAAGAGAAGGGGTTATGTGCTAATCACTAGCTGTATGCTGGTGATAAAATTTGGGAATGGATGACCCAGTTCTTCTACCCAATGTCATAGCAGCAATATTTTTAAAAAGCTCATTCAGTGCACCACAAGCATGAAGAAAAGAGAACAGATGATATCGCTGTTTGGACCAAGAATTCCTGAAAGTTGACCCAGGAATCCTTTTGGAATTTATTCTGACAGCAAAGTACCCAGACACCAAAAGTTTGCTTGATGTTACATGCAAGACTTGCGAATATGATCAAGGGGAAAACAGGAGATTCACAAGACCTTCAATAACAAAAATGACTTCACTGGAGAGAAGGAAGCCCTTTTACGCAAGGAGAACCAGTGATGTGAAGGGAGGTGAAATGCTGTGCCTGGCACTATA